CTGCTCTGGCAGGGATGTGTCGGTCCATGTTCAGATATGTGAAGATTCCGTCTTACACATACATGTCTTTTGCTGAAGAAGAAACACACAAAAGACACGACATGGCTCACACCTTCCCTCGACTGGCACTTCGTTCCACATCCTGGAACTGCTAAATAACTTCAAAAGGACGCAATCAGAGGTGAGAATCCCGAAATTCCAGGAATCGAAATGCAACACCTTCTCCAGGACAGCAGAAAGCTCTGAGTTCAATGTCCAAAAACAAAAACCGCGACAACTCGGTCCTTCTCTTCATCCTTGACAGTATCCTCTTCTGCCTTTAGCACAGCCTGTCTCAGAAGGGAAGCACTTGAATGATGCAGCAAGAGTGAGGATCTGAGCCCAACGAAACAAAGGTCAAATCAACTGTTGTTCCCTCGGCAAATCACGATCTGGGCCTCAAGATTCATGAGCCGCGCTCGGTCCAAGAAGTTGGTGAAAGGCTGCTTCTTTAAGTCCTCATTTGACCCTGAAACTTGACCTCTCAAAACTGCTGCTTCCAAAAAGGAACGGTCCGACAGCGTCCTCTTCCACCTCTTGTTCCTGCCCTTCAATGACTTGTTCATCTGTCTTAAGGCCCCAAATGACATCAAACCTCGCAATGCAGTGGCGGCGACCACCAGCTCTCCAAGTTGTCCATCCTTTATGGTGTGTTCTTTACAGAGAAAATGAGAGAAAATGAGTTTTACATCTGTGTTTTCCGCCCGTCTCACCTACCTGAGCTGCCCAGCCAGTTCTCCGCATGTGCCGGCGCACTGATCAGCACGGGCAGCGGTCCTCGAAGGCCATGAGACGAACGCACGGTCCCGTGTGGTGACACACACGCCTGCAAGGAGACTCCGTCGTGGCACTGCGAAAACTGCACCAAACGGGTGCCTGTTGGAGGCTATCCAACAATGCTGCAGACTTGAATGTCCAAATTGGACAAGTTTTCAAATGCTGTTGCTGTCTTAAATTTCCCTGGAATCGCAGGAAGCAGATGTCGAGGCCGTTTTGGGAATCCGGGCAACCAATACCAGCAGCATCCGGCAATGGCGGTGCCAAAGAGTCGTTTGTGGCGCCCGAGCATGGGGCCGCTGCGAGGCTGGAAGTCTTCGTAAGCTCGTAGCATTCTTGCTACTAGTAAGAAGGACGCTATTAGGGGCTCCTGGCCTTACTACTAGGAACAAGAAGCCACAAGTAACAAGGACGCTATTGGGTTGGAGGCCATCGCTATTAGAAACAAGAAGCTACTAGATGCTACTATATAGGTGGAGGCCATCGCAACTAGTAACTAGTAGCATTCTTGGTATCGTAAGCAAGTTTCGTAGGCATGGTTTCTCGTCTTCGCAAGCCAGATCTCGGGGCTGAAAACAGATCTCTTTGTTGAAAGTCACTGTAGAGAGGGTTGTGATGTGATTTGTTGCATGTGTGTTAACAGCTGCCGGACCATCCAAAACCCCGGAAGTTGAAACAAGTCACAGGTAGTTAGCATTCACACATCATCACACAACCCCTTTGCGCAGCCAGAACAAATCGATGAACTCAGGAAGCACTTTTGTCAGAGGAAAGCTCGTCCTTGCCTTGGCATATCTGAGAATTTGTGCACTGAACTCTTTGGGTTGCCAAAACATTGATATTGAAAACAATCCACTTATTGTCCGGACGTGTCTGGCTTCCGGACATGACATGGACATGAGGTGCGGACCACGCAGGAGATGACGCCACCTGACACTTCGGTCGGAAAAGGAATAGAATTCTTGAATCAGTTGCTGTGGAGTCCCCTCCTGAGTCGTGTCAGTCCAATCATGAAACCGGTTCCTCCAAGTCCGGCTGGCCTCCAGGAAGGCACCAGCATTTGGGCCGCCATCCAAGGTCGAAGCAGCTTCTTGAAGTTTTCCCACGACCGTGTTCAGTCGGTCCATCCTGAGTTTCAACTCAGAGTAACAAGAGGATCTAACTGTCTAAACTTGAGCAGGTGGGGTTGATCTGGCTGGAACGTGGACTTATAGGGGGCTCCACCACCAAACAAACAACCCTGCATTCCACTTTATTATCTTTCTTCAATGTAGATCACATGCTTGGTCTTCTCTTCTTTTGCTGCCCAGTGGCACTTGTGCCTCGCGCTCAGGAGGAGCAGGGATGCCTGCAAGGGAAGAAAGTCGCATTGCATGTGATGGCACTACAAGAGCTTTGTTTGGCTTGGCAATGCCTGTTTTATTGGTTCCAACACTTGTTGCACATCAGAGTCTGCACACAACCTCCGAGATCAACCCCAAGGGCCTGAGCCTGAAGGCAAAGAGATCACCAGGCCCGCTTTGGGTGCCTTGAAAGAATACGTCTCACGACACATGAGGCACACAAGCACAAAATATGTCTTAACATGGCAGTGGGTCAAAAAAGAATTGTGTTTTCTTAGTGAAGACTCCAAAAAGGCAACCAATGAAAGTTTGGCTCTGGCATGCTCACCTTTCCCCACGATTTTCAAGGTGTTTGTTTCATTGTTTAATCAAAGACCGGTGTTTGTATGTTCCCAGTCTCCTGAGTCATGGAGTCCGCCAGTTCGTCGAAAGGCTCCGAGGTATCCTCACCAGGTTCGTCACTCACTGGGACATCGACACGGCGTTGCTAGGGTTGTCATGGGCCTCTTCTGGCATTGGTTCTGGTGGTGGAGGCAAAGGCTCCTGACAAAATGAAAAGGGATTAATAAAAGTCTACAAAGAAGACACAACATGACACAACCACTTAAGCTGTCCAATGACAAAACCTGAGAGAAGTGGCATTATTGTGGGTTGATTCCTTTTCTGAACTCTTAGCGGGGGTTGATGGGCAAGAACGGCAGGAGCCCTCCGTGAGTCCTCCGGCTCCGCATCTTCCTTGGCCGCCTCCTCGATGTCTTCCATGATCTCCTTTTCCGGATCTAGATACAACAATGCAAAGTCTGCCCGCGCCGAAGGTGCTGAGGCGTTGTCTCAGTTCGCGTAAGCCGCTATGATTGCTAGACTGCATAGCTTAAGCTTTAGATTGGGGGAGCGCTATTTTTGCTCTATATAGGTGCTTTTGAGGCCTTTAAAAACCGACGAAAGATGAGCGAGTCATTGGCGATGTCGGTTGTGCCGCCCGAGTAAGCATGCATCATTGACATTGTGTGTGCTTGTCCCTGTGGCCTTCTCCAAAGAGAAACGATAAAGCTATATATAGTATTTATAATGTGAATTATGATGCCGCGAATGCAATTGCATCATTGAAAGCGTGTGCGTGTTTGTACGTGCTGATTGTAGTCGAGATCTAAGACGCAACGTCGGGTAATACGGGGATGCATCAATCACCAAGTTGCTTGTCGTGGGCTGTATTATTGGTGTTTAAAACAACAATAACCCACAAGTGCTTTCCGTGCGGGCGGCTTCGCCGCGAAGTGGTGTGAATACACCAAATGATTGTATTCTCATGATTGTGCAGGATACAAAAGCAGCATTAGCCAATACCCGGCAAAGATACGAAATGAAGATTTTGCCACCACAATCTTGACTTCACATCATCAAATCTTTACTTCACATCAGTGTCTTAAAGGTTGTTCGTCACTGGTTCTGTCAACCGTGGCTCCTCGTCGTTTTCACGGGACAGAAAGTCTTGCTGCTTTGCCTCATCCGATTCATCCGCCAAAAAAGGTACAGCCACTTCGATCCGCTTCGTGTCAGGAATGTTGGTACATGTTGATACTATCCTTCCGACTGAAGAAAAGGGAATGAACTCTGGTTGTGTCGATGATGACTTCCTACCGCATCCAGCCCAAAGTTGGGCCCTGAAGACCAGAGATGGTAAGCTATGCCGCTACTTAGGAAGAAACAAAAATCCAGCAGCGCATCCAAATGTTGTCCGCTGAGTGATTGCAAAGGTGCTAAAGCATCAAAGTCTGCAGCATCTTTCGGGTTCACCGCTGCACCTGAAGCATCTGAAATGACACGAAGGACATCGAAGAGGACAAATTCAACAACAATTCCCACCTTTGTGCTCTTCAAAGCAGACCTGTGGGGACCACTGCTTTCAATGCATATAGCTCCTACCCTGTATCCAAGATCTGTGATCCACAAAATCGCATCAAAATGCTTGCAGAAAGTGGTCAAAAAGCTTCTTTGCGTAACTTGTTCCTCACGAAAATCGCACTCCAAAGGTTGGGACTAAGGGAGCCACATGGTGAAGTCTTCTAGGCGGCACCCAGCAGAAGCCCTGGGCGTTTCTGAGATCCGATGTGAAGAAGCGAAATACACCAGAAAAAGAAACCAAAAAGCTGTGCTTCGCGTCGGACATCATTTTCTGGTACTTCTTTAGTACAACTCCAAAATGAAGGGCTGTTGACAGTTGGCATTTTCCCACCTCGGCTGCAATGTCTAAAGCACGCACCATTGGCTGCGAGATGCCACATACAAAGCTGTTGCTGGTAGTGGAACAGTTTGCAACTTATGAGTATCTACGTCAAGTCCAAGGGATCTGTGAAAGTGTGAAGCTGCTCTAGACTAGCCTGTGCTATCCTGGAAGTGGTTTGAAGCTAAGTTGCTGGTGAGCTGCGGTTACTGTTCTTGAATAGAGTGATGAGGACTCGACACTCAAATCAGGTCCCAAGGTATTTGACAGCCTTTTCTCGCGCATGGGAACTGGTCTGCTACACTTTTGAGAACCTTCCAGCCACAACGCACCTGAGAACCCTCACTTCATCATTCAATGGCAATAGTGGCAATAGCTATCACTGAATTGAAAGGTACTCCAAGAGTAGCCTCGACGCCTGAAGTGAAAGAGGTGAAAAGCTGCATCTTTGATGTCCACAGAAGTTTTAGAAGTCAGAAACGGGCCCACGCCCCAAAGCCTTAGCCTTATAATTAAGAAACGCAGAACTCTGTGGGCATCTGCCTGCATTCACCGTGCTAAGTGTTAAGAAAATACCCTTCACCCAAGCGACAAGAGCGAAAATTGAAGCAGTGCTACTTCTATGCATCCTTTGGAAGCATAGCTTTATACTGATTCACTGGAAGCTCCACCGGCACCGGCGCTGGGTTTCCTTGGAGAATAGTAAGCGGCTATGCGGCTACAGCGTCTCAGCATATCAGCCAAAGCAGGTATCAACCACATATCGCCTGGTTTAACTGAGGTACTACGGGTGAAGCAATAATTGATCACCTCCAGAACGATTGCAACCAGCAGCATGGCCTCGTGTCTTCAGAAAGCTAAAGCGGAGCAATCATTCCATGTAGAGCTCTTTCGCTTGATTCTAATGCTCCTCAAACTACACGGGAAAACCATGCCGAAAGACTTCGGCTCGAGCGTGTTCAACTCAGATCCCTCAGATCCGTCCGATCCGTCCGGATCGAGCCGAGCGGATCGAGCCTTCAGGATGGAAAAATCCGTCTCTCGAGCTGCGACGGTAAACATGTAGGTCACCACCTTGGATCGGAGTGTCAGAAGCACACGGAGTCTTTGAACAAGAGACAAACAGCGAGGTTTACATAGGAAAAATTTGAGAATCGAACTTCGAACTGAAACTACAACTCTGCAGGCAGTCCAACAGTCCAATCGTCATGTTTAAAAATCCTGTTGTGCTTCATGATTCTATGACTTGGTTCCTCCCAACCAAACATCCTGCACCTCATTAGCCTAGCAGCTAAAGAGACAGCGTTGCAGATATTCTTCACCAAGGAGTCAAAGTGCTTTACACAAAGGCTGCAAATCCTCACTGCAAAACGTGCACGACCATCAATAGGTCCAAGGCATCAACTTCAGCTTTAGGTCCAGAAATCCCGACAGGAGGAAATATATTGTGAAAAAAGATCTAATTATATGTAAAAAAACAAATAAAGCTTCTTAGACCACTTTGGAAACTTGAGGATTCTTGAAGCACAACCGGACCATGACTCTTTTGATCCAAAAGGTTCACCAAGCTTCCACTCTCTCCAACAGTACATTGCGGCAACAATCAACGTTCGCTGCGTCCAGGATCCATCTTGTCCACCTTGGCAAAACGCCAAGCCGCGGAGATGTGACGACGGTGTGACGACCATCTCATTGAAAAAGCAGGTCTTGTGACGACGACGTCAATCTGAGAGACCCATAGAGACTCCATTCTGCGAACCAAAGAACATGCAGAAAAGCACGGAAAGGGTCGAGTCCAAGGCACTAAAAAATTGTGATGGATCCTCATGATGCAAGATACAAATCAATAAGTATCCCGTGGTGGCCGCAATAATGCTGCTGAAGGACACCTGCGGGTACCAACATGTGCCAACATGTGCCAACCTTACCATCCTGGCCCTGAAGTTGTGAAAAAGAAGTTATTTGTGTTGACAGCTGCTTTGTTGCACCCAAGTGTCCTTGAGCCTTTACCGATTCTCCAACGACCGGTAACTGGATAAATTGTCAGAAACTGTTATACTTGACACCCATGATGCTCTTGATTCAGCGACCCAACTTTAGCTTTGCTCACACTTCCAGCCTGCGTCATTTGCACGTGCAATCTCATGGGGTGGGCTCGACTCGACTTGAAACAAGTCTCCACATAGACCTGGAGCTGTCATTTCTCGGAAAACTCTTTGCAGGACCCAAATATTTGGCATAGAAACCAGATGCCATCCTGCTGTACAAGATATCACAAAAGCATGCAAGCAACATGATTCTTCAAAGGAAGGGGGGAACAGCGGGAAGTAACAAAGAAGGAACGCAATTCATCACAATCCAAGTTGCGCTGCACAGGACCGACAGGGTGACCTGGACACGGTGCTGAGAGGAGGTCGCACAAAAAAAGAGAGGCAGATCCTGAGGCTGTCGTCAAGCTACTAGCGATGGCCTCCATGTTCTTAGAGCAAACAACCCAAATGTGTCAAACACATCCAAAACATCAAATCTCTTCTCCTGTGACAGATCGTGCCGGCGTCTTTGCATCTTCGTCCTGCCTTCGCCAAAGCAAAAGCTCCACCCAAGAGATGATCCTGGAGATCGGTGACGTTTACACGCCCAAAGGCTCTCCATGTCAAGTGCAAAACCCGACAGCTTCGGAAACGTCTGAAGTTACTTATCAAAAAGTGAATTCGAAAGGCGCTCCTCAGTGTCTGGAGTATGGAAGCGATCCACTGTCAACCATGTATCCTGTCAACTATCAGCCAAAATTATGCCACAAGCAAGTCATACGGTTCCATCAAGCTCTGACGCGGAACGCGACGCAAATGACAGCCAATCGCATCCCCCTCCTGCCGCAAGCGCCACTCAAACAGGCGCTCTGCGTTCGGCCGCGACTCATCTGGAACGAGGCCTCAGAAAAGCGTCCAGCGTCAAGCAATGTTCCTACACGTGGGACGTCGTGAGTCTCACCCACATCCAGCTCCAATGGATCGAAAACAAGACAAAACCGTGTGATGTTTCAAGCAATAATGTCAAGCTACTAGGAGCAAGAACGCTACTAGGAGCAAGCAACAGTCCCACCTTTCAGCTGGCTTCTCACAACCAAGAGGCAATATGCCATGCATATCAGCGACAAACATGCCAAAATGCCTCAGCTTGTCATGAACTCTACAAAATCTCAAGAAAACCAGGTTGTGAAAAAAGAGACCACTGAACTGAAACCGTTAGTTTGGGCGAGTGTCCCCACTGAAGGCCAGTCTGCCAGGCACCACAAATAATCCAGCCCGCCGCAGCACTCGACAACAGGCGCCCCTGGATGGGAGCATGTTGCACATCGCGACTGTGACATGGGCAATAACATCAAACCAATGGTGTTAGGATGCCATGATCTTTGGGGGCAAATGATGACAAATGTCTTTCCCCCTTTCCCGAACAGCTCACGAAACATGAAGATATCCGAACAACTCCTACCATGGGACCCTCTGTCGCAAACGGGCCCGCCTGCGACAGCACGCCGTAGGTGGCCGGATCGATGCGGGCCACGGCCAAGACTTCACAAACGTCGGCCATGGCCCAACCGATGCCCGCAGGAGCGAAGATGATGATGTGTTGGAGATCAAAGCAATGCCTGGCAGCGTTGGTTTCTTCGAATAAAAAATGCCAAGAGCTGTTCCCTGTCGAAAAGGCTAAATGACATTATGACTTCCAGCGATGGTTCGGACGGAAGGTTTGGTCGCGTGCATGTCGTGTCATCGCCAGCACGTCAGGCCTTACTTGCTTCCACCCTCCACTGACGAAGGACAAAGAGAGGCCGACGAAGCAAATTAGAAGCCACGAAACCTGAGAAGCGGCGCATTCCGGCTGTCCGGAGCTGTGGAAATCAAAGCCATGAGGGGAGCCATCAAGAGCCATCCTGAACCATCTCCCATCTTGAGCTTTCAAACGGTCTGTCCAACGGTTTCGCGATTGCCAACGGGGTTTCAACACCGAGATACAACGATGACAGAGCCTTCCTTGAAGGGGCGGCCCTTGATCGGCAAACCGTCCTGTTTTCAGGCAGCCGATAAAAAGTGAGTGGGCAAATGACCTAACCAAGGTAACTATTCTGATCGCTTCCTTCTAATGGATGTATAGTATAATGTATAGTCACCTCATATTACCAATGCAAGCCTAGCGGTGGGAAATATATCTTTGTTTGGCAGAAGCAAAGTAGGTGTTCATGGGTCCTCTCCAAAGCCCACAATCTTTGCCCACGAGACTGTCAAAGGACAAGCTGCATAGGTACCAACCTTGCTGGTTTCTTTGAGTTTCATCTTCAAGTTACAAGTGTTGGATCTCCTTTCGTTGCCTGACACTAATGTTTCGGAATGCCCAACATTCTCATAGTCTCAACCAGACCACAATTACAAAGTGAACACAACATGCGAATGCCGAATGTAGAATGCCGTGCAAATAACATTCTGTAGACACTTGTTTGAGATCAAATAATGCCAAAATATGCCAAATGTAGGTCAAGGCACCACAAGCATAAGCACCAAGTACTGGATGGCTTGGCCCAGATGTGTTTGCAAACGCTTCCAAAGTCGAGGCGCATTCGCCTGCAACAGCCCAGCAGTTGGGCGCCGGCTCAGAATAGATTCAGACCGTGCAGACAGTGTCGCCCTAACACCAAGATGTGTAGGTTCTACAGAAGGACACTTGCTTCCATGATTGGTGGCTAATCTGCCAGCGTCCAGCTCTGCTAGCCTATAGCTCTTATCCATCTTCCCTTCTCGTCTTCGGCCTTTAAATTGGACTCTACCTCTGCGCTAAGCATCCATATTCTCCTTGCACACATGTGCATGTCGTGCACCAGGCACTTGGATCCCTGTTCTTTGCAGCAAATTGTTACTAGTAACAAGAATAACAAGAAGCTACTAGGAGCAAAGGGCATCGCTACTAGGAGCAAGGACGCTACTAGTAGATCCTGGCATTACTACTAGTAACAAGAAGCTATGTTGTTTGTGTTGACAAATTTTGTTTGCTTCTCACACTAGCAAGCCCATCCTATCTGGCTCGTCACCAAAGCTTGGCCATGAGCGGCATCGAACAAAGCCCTTGGCCGGCTGATCTGCAGTGGTCACCTGGGCAGTTGGCCAGATCTTGGAGGTTCAAGACCAGCAGCCTTGTTACGTTCGTAGCTTCTTGTTACTAGTAGCGATGGCCTCCAACTTATTTGCGATGGCCTCCACCTAATAGCGTCCTTGCTACTAGCTAAAGAGCACTTTTAGGAGAACGTGCATGACATGCATGATCTTGAGCTCCGTATGGCCAACTTCACCCAGTCCAACCCAGGAATAGGAGGGCGGTACAAGTTAGACCACATGTACCAGACTTTCAAGACTTTCTGCGCTGCCTCCCCTTGGGCTCCGCTGGCCAGGCCAGTCCGCCATTGGAGGTTCCTGCCACGAAGCATCCGAACGTCCCTGTCGTTCTGAACGAAAGCCCCTGCCTGTGGCGATACTCCATGAGCCGCCCTGCATCGTCCACCCCCTCCAAGATCAAGGCTGACTTCGTAAGCAAGTCCCACAGCGCAGCGTTGTCCTGAACAACACCGGTCGTTGGCAGGGCCGGCTGAACAGAATACTTGAGCGTCTTCTTGATTCCTTCAAATTCTGCACGTGCTCTTCGGCACTTCTTGCAAACTAGCTGCATTTTGTGCAGAGGCATTGCTTCCTGCATTGCTTCCTTTTCGTGACACCTGGCAACCCCCCAACGCAGAATGCTAGTTGAGCCAGTTGAGCTGTTTCTTTACAGTTCATCAAATGCAAAAGGCCAGAGAAAGGTCCAAATTGAAAGCTCAAGCGGTTCACATATTTGACAAATGTGTCGGGAAAAAGAAAATACATGAAGACTTCGCGGAGTCCCCATGTCTTTTCGTGCCTGTTCTGACATTTGTCTCGTGCGCCCGTTGCGAAAGCCTCCGTGGCCGGCTCCGTGGCCGGTGTTAGATGCATTTCTGTCAAGCAAATCACAAAAAAGAAGCTCAAACAGTCTTTGCACCAACATCACAAGTTCAGAATATTCCATGTATATACAAAATCTAACAACTGTTTTTGCCATGTTCACTTTGAGTGAAGACCCTAGACCCTCCGTTCGACCTGGGAGGTCCTCTGAAGTGGCCATGGCTTCAAATTTGCGACATGGACATCGTGAAAAGTCACATGTCAATCTCCATCTTCACAGAAGCTTTGTAACTTGCCAACTTCCCCATCTTCGTGGCAATTGATCTATTCAGTACAATTATCTCTTGCACTGGAATTGGGCAAGCACGTCTGGGACCCAAACAGCTTCAGATATGCTGGGGTCGGCGACATTCTTCCTTTTGCGTAGTGGCTTGCTTTCAGACTTCGGGTTGTGACGGGCCTTTTTTGTCCAACGAATCTACTCCACAACCGCTCTCCATCAAGCTGGGCGGCGGCTTCAGTTTCTCAGTTGCGATCCCGTGTGGGGGGCCTTGATCGGAGTGAGTCTTGCCCCTAGTAGCGTTCTCGCTCCTAGTAGTATGGCCAGAAGCCCCTAGTGGAAGTTTGAGAGCTGAGATCTTCACAACAGCAAGATGGAGGCAGTGAGGCCTTGCAAGAACCTGCAAGGTCTAGACAACACTGCACATCTGCTTCATCTGCACTCTGAGCTCTCAGGAGAATCGATTGTTACATGATGTTTTCCCTAGCACTTAAAGCCTAGAGTGGTGCAAGAGATTGCAGCCTGGCATAGATGTAGGCCAGCAGCCGCAGGAAGAAAATGGGCAGATTGAACTTGTCCGCGTAGGCAAGAAGAACAAGACCCACCACCTCAGCCCAGCCGGAGCGTCAAAGCGTCGAAGGATCGTTCCCAAAAACAGTCGCTGAGCCCTCGTGCTCCGCAAAGGCATGTCTTGGCGAACATCTGAAAGTGCTTGGGCCTTGCGTCTACTCGTGTCAAGTTGCTCGGTTGCTCTTGCTAGATTCTTCAGCCAATCCTCACACTTGAGAACCAATCGTTGCAATTGGGCGGATCCAAACACTCTGGCGGCGATTCTCTTGGCCGACCTCTTGGTGCAAATGGCCAGCGTAGCCATGGTGTAGTAGACCATTCCGAAGACGATCTGCGCGGTTCCAAACCATCTGCGACTTGGGCCTACAAAACCTGACCACGGAAAATACTATTCTATACAGTCCTACTGATGCCAATAGGATCAAATAGGCGGAGCAACTGACAAAACATCTCAAGCAAACATATCAACCACTCAATCGTTCACATGGCATGAGCACGAAGGGCCCTCACTCATGTTAGCTATTAGAGAGGACTTCATCCTTTTCAGATGCTTTGCTGGAGGAAAAATGCATTCAGATCGAAAAAAGCAAAAGACTGGGCTGTTGGATTTGGCTCCACATCTCGCCTGAATGAGAAGCGTGGTCCAAAGGATCACCTGGCCCAAGCGTGACAAGCGAAAACGAGAGCTTTTCATAAGTGGAATCCGATGGAAGACAAACACGGCGAAAGAAACGGATGTCTTTCGCAAAATACTGATGTTTTCATACCCCGAAGTTCCCACATCAACAAACTGCTTGATGGGTGCCATGGACAATGTTTTTTTGGAGGAAACCTGAAAGACCCCCGTCCTCGGCACTTTTGGAGGAGATCTCCCAGTTGTACATGGCTTCTAACTCAAACATGGACCTCAGAAAGCCATTTATGGCGCCATTTGTGGCGCATCAGCATGCACGGCCAAAGTGTTCCAAAGGCACGTCTTTTTGACTTTTGACACCTACTAATTGATTGCTACTGTGATGTCATCATATTCATTCTGTGCTCCCCATGAGATTCATATTTCCTTTCGCAAGAACTTGCTCAGGTTCCGTCGGTCGCATGCGGACGATGAAGACGGCAATGTAAAGGGACTGGGCGGGTTGTGACCCCAAATCAGCTGGTTGTGACGAGATCAGTAGGTAGGTTGGAGGCCATCTGTAGTAGAAACAATGGAAAAAGAAAAGGAAGAAAGGTCGAATATAGTTTGCCTAGCAGCAAGGACGCTACTAGTCCTGGCCTTACTACTAGGAGCAAGGACGCTAAGAAAAGGAAGAAAGGTCTAATACAGTTTGCTAGTAGGTTGGTCAAAGCTTCTCAACCTCCTTCGACCTACTGCTCAACCTACATGTTAATTCCCAGAGTCAGATATTCTGCTTAGAGCTCAATCGACGCCTCGAGGAGGAATTGTATGAAGAGAAGTAGCATGAAGACTCGCTCATGACGTGAGTAGAGGAATTCCACCTGTCTCAAATCTGCCAATCACTTCACTCAATCGGCTGCGACGAGTCAAAGCTGCTCGCGCCTCCTGTGTCATGCTGATGCCTCCATTGGAGCCTGTGCCACTGCTGTCGCTATCTGCATCGCCATTCCTCAGGCACATCTGACTCTCAGGGCTCAACACTGGCACTGCCCTTGCGACTGCACATCCTATCCCAGCCGTAAGGCTTCCCGGCTCTCGTCGGGAGCGGTCCGATTTCGGCCTGAGCAGTCCATCAGGAGCTCCAGCAAGCGAGCACAGGAACAGCCGAGTGCCGAACCGGGATTGCTTGGCATCCGATGGCACAGCCTGCGAGCAAGCGAGCATTTCTCCGCTGTCAGCTGCCAAGACAAAGGAAGTGCATGTAGTTTAAAAGAGGAACCAAATCATTAGTGCGAGCCCTTCTTCAAGGAAGCCCCGCCCTCAGGCGAGGGAGCTTCCTTGAAGAAGGGTGAGCTATCCTGCGTCCAGACACTAGAAGCTTGCTCCCTTGCTTCATTAAGCAGGCACCTACTTAATTAAGTAGGAACGGGCTCGAAAAAAGAAGACAGAGGAAGTGCATGTGGAAGTGCCGTCCGCAGCTGCGTCTCAAAAGCCGTGCGATTTCCAGGACCAATCGCCTCCGTGATGGAGCCGTCAGGGTTCTCCACGAAAATGGGTCCATGCACCATCCTTACCGTAGCATCGAGTGGTCAAACTACTCCATGAATTCATGAAAGCTTCAAAATGTGTACGAAATCGTGACTCAATCTCTTGACAGGGCTTCTCTTTCTTTGACATGCTCTAAGTTTGGATGTGCTCCGAATGCCCTCTCAAAGCTCCGTGACGGACCAGTTTCATCTGAGGGGGCGGCAATTTAGCCTGACATGCAGGTACCTGGTCCTGTTTGACTTTCGGCTGGTGGTTTCAATAACGCTTATATAACTTTTGAGAGAGAACGATTTGCGAACCGTGTCTCTCCCCCTTGTCTAAGCTCAAAGGTTCAAAAGTCACAGCTTCTTGAAAACCTTAAAAACTGCTGCCGTAGCTCACGGCTCGTCGCTCTTTGCGTTTGTACATCAAAGTCTAAAGTCTAAAACTGTCATGGCCTTCATGATGGAAAATCGTGTGTCCTTTGCTTTGCTTTTGCAGGTGCCATAGGAAGTGCTTTCACTCATAGCCTCACAAAATAGATTCGACAGCAAGATGTTCCGTTTTGCTGGAAAACAAGTGGCAAAGCAAGAGCAAAGGCCGCCAAAGGATTGGTTCAAGCCCACCTTGTCAGAGCAAGGTCGTGATTTCCTGAGCCAAGCAAGTTCCGGTGGAGCTCCCTCAACTGGTTGACATGAGTCTCTCATGCAATAGGCTCACAGTTCCAGGCCGGAAACAAGCTTTTAGTAGGCAAAAGCAAGGAACAACACCAACACCATTACTGTATATGAACATATAAAGCACTGTCTGTCTAAAACATCTTTAAAGATTTACGCCTTGTAACCTCTTTTGCTCGGCTCAAATTCGTCCCAAGCGTCTTGCGCCGTTCAGCGCGCTCGCAGGAGTGGGGTGCGCTCCATGGCGGCAGCGCGCTCGAGCCAAGGTCGACAACTCTTGGCACGTCCTTTGCTACTAAGTAGCAAAGAAGCTACTAGGAGCAAAGGGCATCGCTACTAGGAGCAAAGGGCCTTACTACTAGGAACTAGAAGCTAGTAGAAACAATAAATAGAATTTAATTAGAATCAAGTAGCGTTCTTGATCCTAGTAGCGATGCCAGGAGCTACTAGTAGCGTCCTTTCTCCTAGTAGCGATGCCCTTTGCTCCTAGTAGCGTTCTTGCTTGTTACCTTCTGTTTCCTTCTTTTCCTTCTTCCCTTGTTAGTTACTACCATAGATATATTGATTTGCAAGAATAAACTTTCTTCGGCAACTGGTCAAAGCAACAACTGACGTGGCTCACACGCATTTTTTCTTGTCGCTTGGTAGAACTCATCTCCTTAGATCGGTTGAAATTCATCCAAAAAGATCTGCATCTTCTTGGTGCCCGAAGTAAGCTTCTATTAGGGTTAATCTGCGTAAGATGTAGAATATTAACAACCTGGAAAGAAGATTCTAAGCTAATCTGCGCACATTGATGTGCAAGTGTTTTGAGTATCGTTGCTCCAAAAAGGCCCTGGCTCTGAACTTCTCGTAGTTCTGGCCTTAAGTGCGCCAAAAGGTTCCAAACCGGACATGGCTCACAAGACGCCGTCGTATAGAAAGCAATCACAAAACGGGAACAGTGCCTTCGAATCAAACAAAGCAATCCAGTTCATCCAGGTCATTGTCTGCATATCTGCATGTAAGCACAACTGCAAACAAAGAATCGTCGCCAGAAACACACCTTCAAGTCTTCAAGAGCTGTTGAATGTTGCATTCTCATTCCCAATTCCGCCTCATTCTCCTCCCTCTTGGCATCCCTGCGTGCTCCCTGGCTGTTCTGGTGGTCAACCCCCAAGGTCTCTTCTAGACCAAGCACTGCGAGCTCATAGAGAGGAGCCGCCTGCCGCAGCTCTTTCTAAAGAAAGCTTCTTGCCATCAAATCCAAGGTATCGATATCATTTCTACTCGTTGCTAGGTGCCATGACAATACCATCAATTGTCAATCACCATGTCAGAATGCTGCCAAAACCTGCAACAGCCCGTCTTAATTGCCGAGTTAGACCCACAAGAGCCTCGTCCAACCGACCCAGATCTTGCAATACAGACCTTGGCTGGGGCCAAGGTCTGTAGTCAAAAATATGAAGTTTCAAAGAATTTCAAAGAAAAACTGCGAAACAGATCTGAACAGTGAATAAGTGAACAAGAATCAACTGCCTTTGACACGATCATACACGATCCATCTAAAAAAGAAATCAAAGGCTGGGGGTGCTGCGCTAGGTTGCTTGCAGCAGCAAACATGTTGGGGTTGCGATTGCCTTCAGCATCCAGGATTCCACCAAGCTGTAGTTGCACGTCTTTCGCATCTTGTGTTGAAGCAATTTCTTCTAATGCTCACAGGTCAGTAAAAGCCCCACTTGAGCCTTCAGGAGGTGATTGGAAAGTCCTTGGCAGTGACAAATGGTAGAGAAAGGCTACATGTGAAAAATGTTGCTTGAAGCGGGCTGGTACCTTACACAGTGTAAAAGAGTATGCTCAATCTGCTTGTCAGGTGTCACTTTCAGCCAACTGTTTTTAGACCTCTTGACTCTTCCAATTCCAAGGTTCTCGTAGGCCACACGGAAATGCTCCAACGCTTCAGAGACCTCCCAACAAGGGGGCCAAGGCCAAAAGTTCCAAGCTTCTGAGTCTGTTAAGCAGCGTTCCAAGCAAAAGACATCAGTTCGAGAAACAGGCAATCACGGCCAATCCCCCTATCGTCGGTACTACAAACAATTCACCAGTCATCACATTCTGTGCCTTTCCCTGTAGCCGTAGCGCTTGGCCCAAGGTGCTGTGCGCCTTTGTTCGTAAAACTGAATGCCACCAAAACACACTCAAATGGATCGCACACGGATCTTGAGCAACTTATGGACACGGATCTGCCTGTGCCAAGACCTCTGGACTTGCTCCAGTAGGCAAGGCCTGTCGCTGCACCTGCCAGATCCGATGTCTGAGATCGCCAGCGCAGCACGCGCTTCGTGGAATGTCAGTGCAGCAGTGGCCTCGCCTGCTCTGCTTCGCGTGGACGTCCCGAGGCCAACAGAGATGCAGCCAAGAAGCCCTGCAACTCGGTGAACGAAATATTGCGCGTTGCAAATGAAATATGCGAAGTGAGCATCCTATGCTCAGTCCAACCAAACTATTATTGATCCATCCTGATCCATTGAGCCTTCTTTTTGCACGCATCGAACGAGTCAAAACCGAAGCATCGAAAGCGCCTGAACTTCGAGGGTCTCTGGATGAGTTGCACCCAGCGAGGCGTTGCGGGTAGACCAGGCGCTGCGATAGAAAGGCTCTGCCTTTCCCGTAGCGAAAACAAAAGGAAAGGTCCAAAGAAAGGAAATCAATTGAAATCACAAACGGATATCTGCTTCCTTTTCTTTTTCTTAGCAAATGTTGGCAAGGTGCCTTCTTTTGCATCTCAGGCTATCGATACATCTTTTGGCGCTTCCCTATGCGACTCATCCGCGCCTCCCTATGCGCCTGGCGTTGCGCCATGCTGCTGGCCAAGTTCACGGCCACGTTCGCTGCAGCCAAGCTATCGTGACCCAAGACCTCATTGGTCCGAGCTGCCAAAACAAATGTAGTCCTTTTTGAATATTGGTGTTCTTAAAAAAGAAGACTTTGCAACAATTGCAGTGATCAAGGACACCAGCATGGGCTTTGTTCACGCAGTTTCAAGGAAAATAAATGGCACGGCGAACTCATTGCCATCTCAAGATCTCAGTCCTCTGTGGCATCCTGGCCTTGACGATCCCACGATGCGCCTTGTGGAAGTGCACCTCAGGTGCACAAACACCCGAGCGGCATCAAAGACGGTGGTACGCGTGATGGGTTGGGCGGATCAAATCGATCGGCTTAGGAACGGTTAGGATGATGTTTAGGGCCCTTTAATCAGGTCTCTTTGGAAAGGGACCCAGACAGTATCCTCCTTTCTCCTTTACTCTACTTTTTAACTGTTTACTATATGTTTTTTGGGCTTTGCATGTGTTGTTTCGTTTTATTATCCGTTTTTACCTTCCTTTTCTCCTCACTCTTTTGTTTGACTTCCCCTTGCCTCAGCTTCCTGATGTCGGCCAATGCTGCCCAAAGCCAATGCCAGATTGTTCACACAGGTGAACTTGTCGCCTTAACTCGGACTCGCCAAAAAAAATGATGTTGCAAAAAAAGAAGACAAAGATTACGACTTACTTCGTACAATATGACTATACATACATACATATGTATATATAATATAGGATTAAATCAATTGTTGTTCTTCTTCACCGATCGTCAAAGCGACGTGCCGGTAGCTTCTTGCAGCTCTTCGCCAACAGCTGCGCCGCCTCCGAGCCTCGGCCAGCCACCCGGAGGCTGGTTCCCAGCGCCTGGGCGTCAAACGGCGAGGCAGACGGGAGTCTTCTGAGTCTTTTTCTGGATCTTCAGAGGTGTTTCATTCACAAACTGGAAGACTTAGAGACTTGCATTTTTGAAGCTAGGGCTTGCTATGAAAATCGAAAGAAAACATATAAAAACATCACGGAGATGATTCCAAAAAAGAACTCCCAAAGGTTTTGAAAGTCGAGTCAAGTTGGATCTTGGCTTGCCGGCCACTTCGGCCAGGAGGGTCTGTGGATCCGAGCTTCCAAAGCTACGCCTCGGAATCTGTGGAGAGTCGCTGCGCTCGCGACGCCATTGCCACTTCCATCTCATGTCAAACCTTTGACTGTTTTTTTTGTTTTGCACAGTCTTTTCTTTTTCTGTTACTTTTTCTTTGGTTCCCTCTTTGGACCTTTCTTCCTTCTTTACGGTGGTTCTTTAGACGTGTCTTCATTTCTTCTTTAGAGAAAAAAAGAAAGAGAGAGAAAGAGAGAGAGAGTACCAGTGTCACTGGATTTCGATGGAGGAACAAGACCTTCCGGTCAGATTCTCAGAGGTTCCTGACATGTTTGGGAGGTTCAAAGATGTTTGTTTAGTCGGCTTCATCATGAAACGGTTCATGGTGACGAGGCTCTTTGCATGCTGCAGCGCGGCCTCCTGCACTGCCAAGGCCTCCTGAACACGCCCCTTGACCTGCGGCAGCTTTCCTTCGTTTCTCCGTCACTTCAGTATGAACATTATCTTGAAACTTTCTCCAGAATCATGATTCTTCAAAGGCTTAACCTTTCTTTAGTAAAATAGGGTTCCATGATGTTCCATATTGGGTTGGAGGCAATCCCCAGTAGGGTGGAGGCCATCGCTCTCAATGGTTCCTCTGATGACTCGCCGTTTCACCGTTTCTTCGGCCTCTAGGTGCCACGCCAGCCGTTGAAAATGCCCCGCGCTCACACTGGAATGCAGGTGTCCCGAGCTGGTGCCCTCCACACAAAGAGCAGGCAGAAATACGAATGAACAGCGAAAAGTGATGTCTGATTGAAACATGCAAGGATTTCTGGCCTCAGGTTGGGTAGTGACCCTTCTCAAGGAGTCCAAGTAGGTATCTTGGAGCTGCAAGGAATTGCGGTCCAATTGATCCTGGCGATGTCGGCACTTCCAAGAAATTAATCAATTTCTGTTCTCTTGTTGTCTTTTCTTGTCCCTTCTCATTCCTTCTTTTAACCTGCCGATGCAAAAAGAATGTGTGAGGTGAGTGAAAATATGTGAAAGGCCGTGAGACTTCTAAAGGACTTCTGTGCAGGTTCAGCTTCAAATGGAACGGAACATGTTCCGACTACGTGCTGAAACCCGCGCAAGGACTTCAAATGTCAAAGCGAGTGGTCATCGACTGGACCAACCGAGGTCGACAAGATCGCCTCGCACAGAAGCTCCAGAGCCCTGCGGAAGACCTCCAAGCGAACCGTGTCGCCGTGGCCTCCACGGAAAAATCACCGTTTTTTTCACCCAAACATCTGGTTGAGTCACTTGGGAGATCACCGGGTTGAGTCCTTTTGGGATATGTTTTTGCTTTCCCCTATTGATTCTTCGGTCTGTTGCAAGCTCCCAAATCCAGTGGAAGATAGGTTAAAAGGGGGGGCAAGGCAAGGGGTTGGATGCGAAGTGAAACAAGAAATCGGGTGCCTCCCAAGTGCACCACCGGCTGCTGCTTAGGCACAGCTGCAATGATGCTTCTGGAGTCGGAGTTCAGCGTGCCAGGAGGCAAGAGCACAAAAGCTGCTTGTGCTCCCATAACGTCCTGGCACAAAAGCTGCTTGTGTTTCCAACACAAATGTCCAACAAGAATTGCGTCATGGGAAGTACATGGTCCTCTTTGTAGAGAAGTTCCAACACCTCAAAGCCCAAGCAAGAGACACAACGTGCCACACCAAAGCTCCCAACGCGCCATGCTACAAAACTCAACCGATCAAACATGGCATCTCACGTACACTGCGCCTCCTGGTCTGTCCACCCCTCCTTCATGCGAGGATCATCCCACCAACGTTGCAGGAACTGAGAGCTCCAAGATGACCTTCAAAAGGAAAGCCAAAACATGACTGGCACAGTTGGGATTTCTACTCTTCAAGTGGATCAAGCATGAAACAAATTCACAGGTCCACATCTTCGTGATATTGAGCCAAATGTAGTCTGTGGTTTAAATTAGTGATATCCCACCTGAAACAGTAACCATTGACCAGAGTTTTTGATCTGCAGATATAACTGGGCACCTCCGGATCAAAATCACGTCCGCGTTGAAGAGGGACAGGGAGTTCCCAGCCCGGCCATGGGGATCGCGGCTGATGAGCACCTCCAACTCCAACTGCTCTCCCAAATCGCTTTCTCTCTCTCTCTCTCTCTTTCTATCTCTCTCTCTCTCTCTCTCTCTTAGGCCAAAAGGGACCGGGAAAATGAAGGAGAAACTAGAAGACTGTGAGAGAAACTAGAAACATCTAGAAAACCGAAAAATCCTCTCTCTTGCCCAAAGAAGCCCATCCGATTCTTCAGGTCCGATTCTTGCCCACCTGAACCTGCTCGGCTGCGTACTCTGTGAGAGTCCTGCGCAGCACGTCCTCGCCGAAATCCACGAAGGACGCGTCTGCACCGATCCACAGAAGCCAAGGCGCCTGGGGACGCCGCGAACAAGGCACACGAGGCCGTGCAGCTGATCTACTGTAGCAGTGTACATGTTGCAGCAGTGTAGTGTTGATGAACAAGGCATCAAACACAAAAAGGCATGAAATCGAGAGCTTCGTGAAGTGTTTACTTTGATTAAAGCTGGTGATGAAAGCTCTTGCCCGATGAACATGCATGGAAGTACAAGTAGCGGAGGGGAATCAACACGCAAACTCCGGTCAACGGCGGATTCGGAAACTAGAACCGCGGATTCAGAAACTAGGCACGGCGCGGATTCGGAAACTAGGATTGGGAAACTAGAATGGGCATGAATCGGATAGTTTCTGAATCGAGTCTGTGAGATACGAATATGTCCACGCTACATCAACACAAACATTTCATTAGATCCCCAAACCCCCCCCCACCCCCCAGTTTCTGAATCGGGTGAGTTTCTGCATTAGCGCTCTTCAGGTTCTGTTTTGGCCGACAGCTGTGTCAAGGGCTGTGCTGTTTGCGTTCATACTTTTGTACGTATATATAATTCGTATAATGTTCTATGCGCAACGTCAGGCTCTCAACCGACCATTGCTTCAGCATGTTTCAGCATGCTACACACACAATAATCGTGCTGGATACTGCTTGGCCTTGGGCGAGCGAAGCCTACGGGCTTTGCCGTTTGTGCGCATAAAATCATACGGCCTTATCATTGCTTCAAGCAAGCTACAAAATCATTAGTGGCGCTGGATACTGGTTGGCCTTGGGCCAATGACACTTACGGGCTTTGCTGCTTGCGCGCATACTTTTGTGCGCATAAACTTATACGCGCAAGATCATGCGTTGTTATTCTCCAAATAGGGATAGCTATGGCGTTCTTACTGCAAACAAGAATGAGCTGGCTGCGCGCGCTTTGAAAGGGTGTCGGTGCTGGTGCTGGTTTTGTGGTCCTGGGTGCTGGTGCCGTGAGCTGGCTGAGCGCGCGTTTAAGACGGGCGGCACGCTGGTCGGGCGCTGGTGCCGCTGCCGGTGTTGTCAGCTCGCAAAGCGCACAGCTGCTGGTGTCAGCTGGTTGTGCGCGCTGTGGAGGTTCCGTAAGCTGGCTGTGCAGGCTGCGTACATTCGTGTTCCAGCCAGTCGCATGTCAACAGGTCGTGGGATTCTGCCTAGCTATCTGGGTCTATGCTGGTGTAATTTAGTACCCTGAGGCGTTCACTGTGTGCAAAAATGTTGAAGTTGCAAATGAAACGACGGCGCGCATCTGACCAAGCCTTTTTGTACAACCAGGCTCTGTTGCTCTCAGTTCTGCTCTGCTGCTGGCAAGGAAAAGAATGACCAAAGTCTGACCGCCTTGCTTTCCAAGTCCAACTGAAAAGTCTGGCATCCAACCTGGACAGCTCATAACTCGCTATATTATCCATTCGTTCAATACATGTCAAGGATGTCAAAGCAAGCCAAAGGTAGGTCATCAGAGTCAGAGTCATCAGCTGTGATGCAGCTGTCAGCTGTTTGGGGCAAGAACCTCGCTTCAGCCGAAGAAGTCCCCCAATTATCACAAACTGATGTAATGTGTCTTCGGACTCACTTGCATCTGTAGCAAGTGAGTGAATTTCTTGAAAGACAAGGACTAAGAGCTTGCTGGACGGAGGGCACATGCAGGGCAAGGCCGCAGAACATCTCCAGAGTTTCCAAACAACCAACTGCTTGAATTGGACTGAATTTCACCTACGCCGCTAAGTTGTGATTTCCAACGCGGGGCACATCAAAACGTACAAATCTGCTTCACAACACGATGGGGGGCCTCGATTCATTCCTGCAAGTGCGAGCATGGAAGATGTCCATGCTTCTAGTGCTGGGCAACTGTACTCTGGGAAGGAGACAAATTTAATCAAACTATGTCAAACTTAGGATGATTTAGGATTGGTGCTTGGGTTGCTTACATCCTTCCCAGATGGATGGCAGCGAACCGAATCACCGGAGCCACCAGTTTGCGCTTCCGGAGCTGACCGATCAAATGGATCGAACGCAGCGACCTCGGCCAACTGGCGACCACACACCTTGCGACTCGGCGAACAAAGAGAATGATAATGTGGCAGTTCTGAGAAAAGAGGGCGACCTTCTCAGTGTCGTCTCGGACTGACATCAGCCAGCTTTTGCATCGCCACCAGAACTTTGCCAAGCAGATATGCCCAAAGAGCCATGAAGATCTTGGTTTTGTAAAAACAACTGTGATAAAAATGATATCTAACATACCTCTTCAGATCTTCAGTGGGGTTGCCACTGGACATACAACACGTAGTTATGTCAGAACCATACGACGAACAATAGTTAAACATGTCGTTTCGTGTTGTTTGTCAACCAATGGTGCGTCGATGCCCCAACCACTGTGCAAGAGATACAGAAGGAGGGCTGCTGTCAAAACAAACGCCCGTTGCTGCAGTTTGTGAATATATATATATATATCAAACAAACCATATTCCCAGCTACAGCCCCTTCCCAAAACTACCGAGGCATGGGCAAATGCTAATGCAAATGAATGCGCTTTGATATTATGTTTTAAGGTTTTCTTGTGTCCTGGTTTGAATTGAACGTGTTATAAGAATCATTAAATTCCATCACAAAACTATGTGATTGAAGCAGCATCTGCGCAAATACTGGAAAGGCATCACCTCAATCCACTTGCATAGTGTGCATTTGGCACACTGGCACCCGTGGCACCTAGAGCAAGGGCCAGGTGACCCGAGATTTAAACAAAACCCCTGCGAAAATCAACACGATGCGGATGGATCAGCAGAAGTGAGAAGAAGTGGGGCGCTCCTACAAATGGATGAGACTGTGTCATCTATAAACTAAGGCTGGTTGCAACTAAGGTGTTCTTACGGTGAGGGAAAGGCAGGGTTCACGTTTGTCGCTGGGCCTCTTCTCTTGGCAGCACAAAGTGCTTATTTCGGCTCTCGTGTGCGCGCGCGGGCATACATTGTTCTATTTATCTCCAGCATGAGAAGGCTTCTACTGTAGATTGACAATGTCAATAAAGAAGCCGCAAGAGGGTCAAGCTGTGACCTGTTCAGCTAAATAGACATATAAATAAGCACACGGGCAAAATTAAGCAAAGCAGCCCAAGCCGACCTATCTACTTGTGCAAAGTGCATCAAAGTGCTCTTGTAATGTTCTATCTGTTTGAAGGCCTTTGAATTCATACTTTACTCTCTGAGAGGAAGGAGCGCCCCACACCAAAGCTTCAGCCGCAGCTTGCCAAGCTACCAAAACCCTTCACCGCCCTCTCCAATCTATTGGCTGCAGGCATTCAGAAAGAATGTTAACAATAGCCAATGACCAGCTTACAGTAGTTGTGTCCGGGCGGCAAGGAATGAGTTTGCAGCCAAAATGTACACAATGCTTCTGCAGGCGATATACTGTAGTAGTTTAATGGTTTGCGCAAAGAGAGTGCCCAAAGCAATCCTTGTCCTAAGCACCAATCCTTCAAAAAAGTTAGGACCAGGAATGCGGGGCCCGAATGCTGCACCGCTGTTGCAGCACTTCAATAGCATATTGGATGCGTGGCAGCGTGCGACAAGGGCAAAGGTTGACCAAGCGGAGAAAACCTAGGCAACAAACTGCGTATCCCTTGCTGCTGTTGCAAATGAGTAGTAAAAATACACAAAGCTTCGAGGTGCCACTTATGTTCCAGCTACGACGACGATGCTCCGTCGATGCACGAGTCCACAGCGAAAAGCCGTCCTTCTGTGCCCTTCCGAGCAGCTCATCTGGCTCAACACTCGATTCAATTTGGCCAACCTGTCACAAGCTTTGGACGGTGCTCCCAAGAAACGCCGAAACGTCACAAGGGTTTGGTGTTGTTTGACGATGTTTTTAGATTTTTTTGCAATCAGTCTGATTCGGATTCACCAATGATAGTCGCTTGCTAGCTCAAAAACCCTGCGACTATTTCCACAGCTTTCAGGAAACTCGCAAAGCCAAAACCGTGTTATTAGCAGTCAGTTTTTACTGCAAATCGCATATCAACATGAACTCCGAGGAAAAGCAAATGCCAAAGAATGCCAGCAAACTGCAGCAACACAATCCCAAAACCGCCAAAACAATCCAAACAACAACCAACCAAAAATTGAGGAGTTGGAAGGTCCAGGGTCCAGGCTCTACCAACTTTCCAAATAAAGCGATCCGTCGACTCGTAGGGTCCCAACTCGACAGGTGGAAAGACTGTGTCAAAGAAAAGCTGGTCGGCCTCCCTCGAATTTGTGACGAAATAACACGTCGCTGATTCAAGGAACTTCCAGAAAGAAATCCAGTTGTTCCTCTCGCTTGGCATCTGGGCGAGGTGCTGCTCCATCAGCCCAAGCACCTCTACCCGTTTTGCGAAGTGAGCGCAATGCCGCCACCCCTCTTTCCAGCTCTATCAATTATGGTATAAATTGCTTCATGAGTGCAGGCAGTCAAGTGATGCTTGGACACGAAAAGTGTCGTGCACAATTGTGCCTTAGCTGAGAAGAACCAAAATCGAATGGATACGTACTTGTTTGAGGCTGTTTGCAACGATTGCAGGCCACTGGGTGTTGAGTTTTGCGTGTTTTTTTGATTTTATGGTGCTGCTGATTTCCACACATCAAACAATTGTAAAAGTGACATCGTGTCGAGGATGCCTGGGGCAAGTCCTCGAAGTTCTGATAGAAAACGGATAAGGCCATGAACCCGAGAACTTAGAACCAATACGTCGAATCATTCAACAAGCAGCCATGAATTCAAGGGTACTGTTCTTTGGATGATTTGTTTACAGCACTCAACTGTTTGGAAAGGTTGCAAACACACATTAGACCATCTACGATACATGTTTGAACCATGTACAACTCACTGATTGCAATGCAATCATTTAGCAAACCACCACGGAGTTGGTGCTTCATTTTGGCAACCAAAACTGGAGGCCAACCAAAAAACTGATTTTACAAGGGTCTTTGTTCACCCACCCTCCGTCTTCAGGATGGGCTTCCACTCTTTCAGGTTCTGCTTCCAACCGTCCGTCGGCGAGTCCCCATGTGGCCCATGGGGAAACAACATATCCATCCCCACTTGGATGCTGCGACCCCCCGAATCTACAAACCAACGAAACTCCAACACTTCGTGAACATATTGTTTTGCTGGTTAGATGATGTTACGCCCGCATAGATTTCATTGTAGGAGTTCTTTTCAAGTGTAAACCGCTGCTGGTGCGTGTCAGGCGTGTCATACTTTCGGCTAGGGAAAACACCTTGCCGAACAAGTGTGGACTGTTAACCTTGGAAAACGTTTGGTTCGAAGCCGTGAAACAATAACTTATTGTCAATAAGTATGTCGTTGAATATAAACAATTGTGCTTCTGGCCTCTTCAGCAGCATTGGGATCATCCATTTTCGTCTCAGCCAGCTGTGTTCTTGCAAAACACATGACATGTGTGGCTGTGACTTGCACCCGGCATCTGCAACACGTGCAAACATGCAAACTTTCAGGCACCCCCCTTTTGCAGACATGTGTTGATCAATTTGTGTCTTGGATTAAAGTATTGGAATCGTCCAAACCCCTCGCGACACAAACAATGTGGCACAACTCTGCAAAAGAACTGTTTGAGTCTGACTGATCTCCAATTCGTGGGCTAAGAAACTGCACGCTCTCGAAGGTGAGGTAGCAAAAAACCCAGCAAATTTGCCCTGAGCGCAACCAAACAACAAAGACTGGCAAGTGTTGGTGGCTCTTTAGTTCAGCTTTAGTTTTGAGACATCACATCACTGATTCGAAGTGGCTGCGAAAGAGCTTGGAGCGTTTCACGCTGATATTTGTCCAACTTGACCTTAGCTGCAGCATATCTGAACTAGTTTGCCCGCAAATGCCATGGTTTGAACTGCCTTCCAGCACCTGGCCACAGCTTGTTGCAATGACAGTGTGGCATCACTTATGTTGACGTATGATTAATAAAGGGACCCGAAATAAAGTTAGCACAATTCAAAATACAAACATACTTGAAACATTAAAAACAAAAAAAACTGTTTAAACATATTGATTTAAACATACCTGAAACATAAATAAATATATAGAAATGATTATGTTCAACAATAATATTCAAAAAACATAAACTCAACAATAATTTAACACACAAACTCTATTAAACAACAATTGAACATACAAAAAAGTAACACCAAATAAAGCCCACCCTTAATGAAGCTAGTAATTGTTCCTAATGCCACCACACCCTAAATAAAAACTAACCAAAAATATAACCAAATAATTTTGTTCATTGAAGAACACATTGTTGAGTTAGTATTTAGTTCCTTTCGTTCCTTTGCCAACAGATTGGTTCTTTGGATTCCTTCTTGATTCATGCCTCTTCATCTCACAACTTTGTACCATCAAAACAAAAAACCTTCTGACAACAATTCTTTCTATATAACTTACTTAAAAAAAAAAAAAAAAACTTGAAAACTGATCAAAACTACTCTGGAAAGGGTTCTCCCCATGAAGCCACCAAACCCTAACAATGGTGTACCCCAAATAAAACTAACCTATTTTGCTCACTGAAAAAGAACTTGTTGCGTTAGTTTAGTTCCTTTCAAATCTGATTCAATTCTAATTCTAGTCCATTTCAATTCTAATTCATTTCTAATTTAACCCCGCCTCAACCCTAATTCAATTCTATTTCAATCTATTTCAATTGAAATTCAACTCTAATTGAGTTCTAATTCAATCCAATTCAATTCTAATCCATTTCTATTTCAATTCAAGTTCAATTGAATTTGAACTAAAATCAAGTTCGTTTTAGTAAGGGATCATAAGGGATCATTTCATTTCAAATTTAAATTCTTTCTTGGAACCTAAGATGAACTGTACTTAGGGTAAACCAAGATTTGAAAATTTGCCACCTCCATTTATTAATCACAGGTCAACATTACTGTCTATTTTGTTTCTCCGATATGTAACTTGAGGGGTGCATGAGATGCTAGGCGTATTCAGTCAAGGCATCAACCGCCCAGCAGCCCCTTGACACCAGGATGGAAGACCTGATGACCCTAGCTAGAATCCGTAGGGCGCCGCTGCGAACTTTGGCACTGCTCTAGTTAAGCTGACGGTTAACCCATAAAAACTCTTGCACCTCCTTCACTCCTTCCGCTTTCGGCTACTTGAACAAATGCATCCCCCTTGGAATTCGGCCACTGGTCAGGGCTGTCTGATTCTTTAGGAATCCACCGGTGCCACTGCCAGATGCCACCTTAAAGGATCTTGAATCCAGATGGCCCATACCAGCATTGTATCTTAAAGAATCAGCCCTCTGCCAACACATACTGGGCACTGGACATTAAAAAAAAGGAACACGTTGAGAACTGTGCACATAACTCCCTGGAACCCTGGACTCCCCTAAAGAATGGGAAGCACCCACACACACGTACCAGGCCATGATGATGACTGTTCCAGAAGGATTGTATCCAAGGGGATTTATCCATGATCACGGCACTCTACCATCTAATACAAAATAGGTTCAAACTAATCTACCAAAGAATGGCATGTTTCTGGAACACCCAGCTGTCTGATTCTTTAGGGAAAATTCCTAGGATGATACAAATGTTTGTTTTCCAATGAGGAGTCACGTGACATGAACTCACGACACTGTAAAACTGACAACCCGGGAGAGATGTCAGTGACCAATCACCAAAGCCTACAAACTGGGGGAACGCTTGCATATGGCTAAAGAGGCACGAACAGAAGTAGGATGCGGCCTGGAATGGGGGTGTCGGAACACTTGGTCCGCGTGGCGGGCCTAGGCTACGCGCCGTTGAAAGGTGTTCCCCTAATAAATCGCGTTATTGCTAGAAACAAAAGTCTGGAAGGGTGCACGTACGCGTTCTTTTGAATGCACTTGTGAGACCCTGCAAGACATGTTCGTCATGACGATGGTACTACAGTGGAGGTGTCCCTTACAAGTTGACTAATGCACTGCCAAATTACACATCAGTCGTGCCAATGAACACGCAGAAAAAACATGCAACATGCAAAAAACAACGCACATACCAGTGTCCCTCACCTGAAGTATATTCAAGTCACATACCCGGTGTGGTTGCAGTGGCAATATTCCTCTGCGAGTGGCTGCGAGGCTTGCAAAACATATTTCCCTTTGCCATTGTAGTGCTATGCAAATGCTTCGTTCTAAAGTCAGCTGCATGTCTTTGGACGAAAACCATCCTCGCTTGTGGTAACTTCCTGGATTGCTACAGTTTGAAGAAGGGAAGTCACCATGAATGCAAATTGAGCATTTCATTCAATCAAATCTTAATCAAATAAAGGTTGAATGTGCCACCTTCTTATCACTGTCTCTACGTGTGAGCATGTTGTGTCATCTTCTCTTGCCTCTTATAGACCTCCCTGTTCATGTTTAGTGGTGTGCTTGTCATATGAATGTTCCGCGTAGGCAAAACGCTGATGCGCGTAAGGTTGCGTAAGCTGTTTGTGGGAGATAGGAATTGCGTACGCTGAAGCTTCTTTTTAAACATGGCATAAATCATTTACGCTAGACAGGGTCAGTAAACTTCTGAAACATGCATGTCTGAGAGACAGAAGTATGGTCGAAGACAGACAGGCTGTTTATACCCAGTTCCGGTTATTCTGAGTTTGGGGGTTTGGTGTCGGAAATCCGCGTAAGCTCCGCGTAAGCCCCGCGTAAGCTTACGTCGCCGATGAAGACAGTAGCCCACGATGCCTCCAAAAAGCCCTTTTCTATCCTTTTCTGAACTGCAATGGCGCCAAAGACAACGCATTGTCCAAACCGTTTACGAACAGATTGCTGCTCACTGCCCAGCTGTCCAGGATGTAACCAACCTATCAGATGCAGTCTAAGTGGGCTTTTCTACCAAATATGTTTGCAGAAAAACGTGCTTTGTGCTCAGTTGTTGGGTTCCTTGGGTCAGAAGTTGTCCGCAGCCAACAAATCAGCGCTGCAATCAGCGTCACACAGCTAGACCAGGTCGTGTGCAGGTTGCCATTCCAGCACTTGCAGCTAATCTAATCAACTTTGTCTTCGTCCTCGACATCTTCTGCTGTGTAGTGTAGTTGTCTCACTGCTTCTTTCCCTTTGCTTGTGAAATAGATGGCGCGTAAGCTGCTGCTGTGGTCTGGTGCTAAAACTTGTTGGCGTACGTGTTGCGTAAGCCCTTTCTTGCAAGAACTTCCGGCGTAAGCTGCCATTGCGGTCGCGTAAGCACAGCGTAAGCAGTGGCGTAAGCAAATTCTTACGACATAGGCAAATGCCACAGGATGCCACAGGTTTTGAGAGCTGCTCAGTGTAATTTAATGCACACATTTCGGATATTTGCGCTGCACGCATGTAATTTTAACTATTACACATCAATTCAGTCTCATGGTGTGAGACCCGTACATATATATATATATATTATATATAACTATAAATGTCATTATATATCCACCATTCCCCTCTTTGTGGCAAAGGCTCGCAATTCGCACCTTTGTAACAATGACCATGCTTGAAGAGGATGCAAGGCTTTCGACAGAATTCTGGATGACCAATACTGCCCGTAGAAGGTGAAATCGACTGCGGCATCTCGTTCTGAGTAGCACCGGCTTCCGAAGCCGGCCCTTTGACACAAGCAAAGGATATCTTCAAGAGTCAAAGAAATGCTCAGGAAGGGACAACATGATCTAAGTCCAAAAAATGAATATGGTTCGAGTGAACACAACTTGTGAGACCTTGCCTTCCGTGGATTTGCTTGTCGGCTTCTCCGGAAGGAAGGACAAAGCATCGGCGCGAGATTCCAACGAAAACACGTACTTTTGGGTCCTGGGCATCTGATCTGGCAGCTCGGGCAGCAGCTCGGAAACAAAGAACTGGACCATAAAACATCAATAACTAAACCGATGAAGCTGGGTCCGAGTCCTGGATAGAGAGGGCCTTTCCAATACAGGCGGCAGGCTTCTGGTTCGCTTTTCCATCCTTTTCTCCTGCTTCGCTGCGAAAGGATGATCCAGAAAACCCGCTACACCGAACGATCATATAGGAATCTCCCTTCAGCCTCCAGGGGCTTAAGATACAACTTGTACTCATACAGTACATGGTCTACAAGATTCTACAAGACATCACCTGGTGGGCCATGCGTGATCTAGTGCATATCATTCAGCCTAAAGAAACTAAGCTTTTCTGGTCCTCCACGCAAATGAATGTCCCAGCATACTTCAGTACTGGCATGGCTCCAATCGTCCAAAGCGAGCTCTCAGAGCTCACAAGTTGGGTCAGGACAACTCTAGGAAACTCCAATCAATGCCCTGATTTGAGCAAATTCAGGACGCCGATGAAACGCCCTAAACAGTATGTCAATGTATGCTGTATGCCATCTTCTGGACCGCGTGGCCAGATCATCTGGATAGTGGCAATGGTCCACTTGCAATGAAGTGAGTCTGTGAACAGTTCTAGCAAAAAAAACACTTCGGACTCCGTCTGCTCCCTCTTCGCTGTGTGCAATGGTGCACTAAGACAGTCCAGCAGTGCAACCAAAAGGTACGTCTTTCCTTTCTTAACAACTTGCACTCGAATTCTGTGCAGGCGTCATCCTTTACTCATACAACTTGGGGAGCCGCATACCTTCTGAGAAGGTGTGGCTGGGATGGACTGGGAATGAAAACGCATCCGTCTCTACCTTCGGACGGGCTGTTGGATTGAAGCTCAAGATGTACAAAATTGATCTGACAGCACCCCCTGGATACATAATACATCTACAGTCTATGATACATAAGATAAATCCGCCCGCACCGAAGGTGCCGAGGCGTTTTTATAAGGCACGCAGTATACGTAAGCTAGCCTGGGCAAGCCAATAGCTTTAGCTGGGGGGGGGGGCATTTTCGCTATGAATTCGTGCTATTTTGAAGCCCCTGGTGATGCAAGAAATGCAATTTTCTTCCTTTGCATGATTTGAATTGATGCAAGAAATGCCATTTT